GGCGTCATCTGCGCGCCGCTGACGAGCGACCGTATCGACGAGCTCCAGCTGCCGCTCATGGTGCCCAACAACACGGAAGTGCGCAAGTGCAAGTTCACGATCACCGTCGACCTCAACGAAGGCACGACGACCGGCATCTCGGCGGCCGACCGCGCCGCCACGATCCGTGCGCTAGCCGACCCGAGCGTCAAGGCCCGGTCGTTCAACCGCCCTGGCCACATCTTCCCGCTGCTGGCCGTTGACGGCGGTGTCTTGTCCCGCGGTTGCGCCTTCCCATCTCGTTCTTCGAACGCTCACGCGGCTTTATAGCGGGGCATACCGAAGCGGCGGTGGACCTTGCGCGCCTCGCTGGCTGCACGCCGGCGGCCTACATTTGCGAGATCAACGACGACAACGGCCGCATGCTCCGCCGGCCGCAGCTCGAGACGTTTGCGGCGACGCACGGTCTGCACTTGATCACAATCTCGGACTTGATTCGCTACCGCTTTTCGCACGAGACATGTACAATTCCCTCTCAGATCGTAGTTTTCACAATTGATGTAGTGATCCAGCGTGTCGGCGCCGCCGTGCCGCTCCAGACTCCTTTTGGCGCCTGCCGTAAAGTGGCGTACACGACGACGTTTGACGCGACGCGGTACGCGACGGGCGCTAGAATCACCCCATTTCTCACGGTCTTCAGGTTTGATGCGCTTGTCGTCGGGACCATTGCGGCCTCGGGCGCGCATGTCTTCTTTGTCGACGGCAGCATCGACGGCAGCATCGAAGCGCAGTTTGCGCTGCAGTGGTTGACTTCCAAGAAGGCCAACGGTGTCTTGGTGTTTGTGCCTGGCTACGAAGGTGCGTGCGCGACGTTGACGTCAGGACTCAAGAGGTGCTCTGTAGCGTTGGTCGATGTGAGTGGCGAACTCATGGCCAAGCAGTCGATCTTTGGCATGGGCCTCCAGATCTTGAAGGAAATGGGGGCGTCGTCTGCGGTACTTTTGGCCAAGACGGCGCCGGCTTTCGACACCAAGGGGTTTGGCACGACGATTGAGCGCGTCCAGCTCCTCGAGTGCGCATAGAGCAATAGTGTACATGTAGACGACGTGATTAAGTAACGAAAAGAGCAGTTGCACCTGGACCTTGCCCCTTGGCAGTCACAATGCAGTCAAAGGAGAGAAGAAGAAGAGCGGTCGACAGTTGAGGAAACGCAGACAGACAACACGCGTGACATCTCAAATGGCCGGAGATCGTGGTCGTGGCCGCGGTGGTTCCGCCGCGTTTAGTCATTTGAGCGCGGCGCCGAGGTCACAAAGGGTCGTAGCTGTCATTCTAACAAGCTACCAGACCACAGAGCGTCGATGGTGACGCCGACGGGCACTCGTCGACAAGGCTCGGCGACGAATGAGCGTTCGAGACGAGATCGCCAAGAGGGCAAGCTGGTTCTGAGGTCGACACGCTGTAAGACAGCCGAGGGAACCAAGTTGCCGGTGCATCCCGTGCGTGACCGCCACCGCAGCGTCGGCGCACGTATTACCGCCTGTTGCAAAACGAAACATGAACCCAACCCTGTTGTTTTAGCGTCTCGGGGCGGGCGACCTCGTCTCCATCTTGCGCGTGTACGAAACAGATCCGTTTTCTTGAAATGAGTTATATTACATGCAATGATAAAGATCTGGTGGACTTCCTAATGCGCTCGTGCGGCGTGGGCGGTGCGTCAAGCGTGGAGCATTAGTGGTCGTGACTCGGGACTGTGCGAGGGACCAGGCAGCGTGCACACCAAGGGTCGTCTCTGAGAGCGTTGAGCGACGCGTCAAGCAATGGCACCACAGTGCGACGAGCCAAGTGCCGGACATGCAGTCTTGCTATCGTAGCTGCCCGGATCGCGAGCGCAGCAGCATGAAGTTTCGTCAGCGTCGTGCGGAAGACACGGTTCTTGCGCTCGAGCCAAAAACAGTGTACCAGACTTGTGATCCGAGTACGGCGTCGTAGAGAGAGCCAGCGACCGACGACGAAGGTTGCATCTGCAAAATGCCCCGCATCGGTGCAAAAGCGCGCTAGATCGCGCGGACGTAGGGGAAAAACGATGGTCGTACGTTTCGCGGGCTTGCAGAGAGGGTAGTAGCGAGCATCGGGGCTGAGAAAGTGCAAGCTGGGCCGAACTGCCACGGCTGGACAGGTCCGTTTTGAGTGCCGTCTGCTTCCACGCCAAGATGATGCGACAAGAACGGATCGAGTCGCTTGACGCGGTTCCGTCGATCTTGGAGCTCAAGTTATAGGAAGCCACGACAGGCGATACCTTGTCGCCTGTCGTCCCCTCCACTGTACGCCGAGGATGCGAGGTGATCGCTGGAAAATCCATTGCGACCTTCTACACGTCGTAGAGATACGCGGTACTTGGCATTGGTACAGCACGCTCAACTTTTGCCAAAAATGGCGTTTGCGACAATCGGCCTCTCGGGGAACTGGAAGCGATCACTTCCAACTATCATTTCTTGTTTCTGCCTCCCGAGGTCGCCGGTTCGATTCCCGATGCGCCGATTTTTCTATCCGGACTCCCCCCCCATCCGGACACGAATGTCACTGAAGACGGTCACCATAATAAGGCCACGCTCGGCAAGTGCCACAAGGAACACATGGAAGAAGCAAGATGAAAACGGCATATGCCGGTAACTCGTGCCTACCGGATATTAGGTTGGAGGTAGGACGACCCTAGAAATAGGACCCTTAATCCGTAAAATAACGAGAACACTCAGTTCAACTATCATTTCTTGTCGGGCGACGGACGCACGCACGCGTACAGAGCACGCTGCGAGCGTGAGCCAACAAGTGGCCCGCGTCCAAGTCGGTCCAGTCAATCACGGCCTGAAATTTGTAAACAGGCAGTGTAGCGGGCAGTCTGAGAGTTGATCGGTAAGTGATTTCAGGTCCCCACGCGCCAGATTCGACCGATGCAGATTCATGGCAGCTCGTCGCAGCCAGTAGCAGCCCGTCGCAGCCAGTAGCAGCTCGTTTCAAAGTAGTTGGGCAGCGTCGCGTGTGCTTGACCTCAGCCTTTCTGCAGTGACGCGAGCGCAGCGACTTTGTGCAGGCACGACCAGCCTATAAAGACTCGATGCGATGGATGAATAACCCAATATTTCTAGCTCGCGTGTCAATAGCGACGGATGCACCTATCATATACTCGATGCAGGGGATGCGCACCATCGGTGGTGCAGACGCGGCTTCCTCGGGTGAATTTCAGTTCACTGGAATCCGCCTATCATACCACGCTCTTGACATGCACGGCCCGACGCTGTCGAGCATGCTCGAGAACTTTGGCCGGCGGTGCGCGTCGTGTCGAGTCCTTGGCTGCCCCTTCTTGCCGCTTCAACGTCGTTGGCATCGTCTCTGCGCCGTTTTGTGTCGTCGTGTATGCAGACGTGACGTGTGGCGTACATACAACGTTGCGTGACATCCCCGATTGCGGCCGCGCCACCGACGACCGTAATAGTTGTGGCCAAAACCCGCTTGGAATTGTCGTATTGTTCACTTTGTTGCAGACTGTAACTGTAGCAATCGATCGCGTCGTTGCCATCGCTAAAGCGACTTCGAGTGGGTCGGGTGCTCTGTGACGACCGTATGCACACCAAGGACCCACAAAGCAGCGGTGCCACGTCGTCTACATCCTTGTATCGCTAGCAGATTGAACTCCATAACGCCGCGAGCTAATGTCGCCGTAGCTTGACATTTCGAGGCGGGTTGATGGCTTGCTGGTCCAAGCTCCAAAGGCTCCTGTCGACGCCGCTCGGGTGCGAGCCCCGGCACCGTGCGCGTTAGGGCCCACCGCGCATGTCGGTGGGCCCGTGTTTTCGCAGCAGTGGGATCTTTAACTTCGTGGTTCGAGCGAATCGCAAGCGGCTACTTGGGTGTTGTCCAGATCATCTTTTTCCGTTGGCGGCGATCATATCGACTAGGTAGAAAGTAGTATCTTGTACTACGCTCTACGGTATGACTGCGCTTTTGACAGATAATCGATGGCCCCCATCACACAGCAGAGCGCTCGACTTTCATTTTTCATTTCACCGCCTCGCCCAAAGCACCATGGACGCCACGACGATGCCTCCGGCCTTCCACGACGTGGACGCGCTCCTCAAGACGCCGCTCGAGTACGACTCGGACACGGACGCCTCGTCGACGGACGGTGACGCGCCGAGCCTGCCGCCCGCGGATGCCGCGCGCCTTCAGGCGCTGTACGCGACGGTCTCGGAGCGGTCCGAGCACCTCGTGGGCTTCCCGTCGTGCAAGGACTGGGACTACAGCGCGCTCTTCCCGTTCCTCTCGTTCCCCATGAACAACGTCGGCGACCCGTACAGTCGAGTCGATCTCCAAAGTCTCGACGCGGGACGT